GTTTACTAATGCCAAAAGCTATTCGTGTCTTTTAAGCGAGAGAGGTTGATTTAGGCTAAACTTACCGTACTCCTTTTCCCGTGGGAACCAGAAAATGATGATAATCGTGGAAACGATAGCGATGATTTTGATTAATAAAGTTATGTTACTTGTTGAGCCATGGTGGCAAAGCACGTGCAAGGAAGCCTGGTAAGACCCTCACAGTCTGAATACTGTAATTTCCTTGACGAACTGAAAATCGCAGACACTCTTGCTCATATGGGGACGATTGAGAAAAACAACATGACGTAGAACTTGGTTGGCTTACATTAATGCTTATGCTGTGTTGAAAACTTTAACATCCAGTAAATCAAAGTCTCTAGAGCTATTCAGGTTGTTCGTGCATTGAACATCTTTGTTCAATTTTTCTTTTTTTTTTTCTCAGCTACGTCAATCGTTTTTGGAAGAAGCCGTTATTTGATTTACTTGACAAACTCAGAGGAACACTGGATCGTATTTATGGTGAAGGAAAAGTGACTTTGATTGACGCCTCTCTTAGATGGATGTACCACCACTCCAAATTAGACGGCGCCTGTGGAGGTATCATCTTTTTCTGTTATCGTGTTCTTTTGTTCATGTTGTATCCTTATAAATATTTTTTCCAAGGAGTAAGGGTAGATAACATTCCAGTAAGATACATTGGGGTTACGTGATAACAGGTTTAACATTCCAGGATTAATTAATGGAAATTTTAGATTTATTGGTAACGAGTATGGCTCTGAAAATGTTCAAGAACCAATGATCGGCGAACCTGTTACATTTTACATAATAAGTTGAATTATACACGCGTCTTGATTGGTTCTTGCTTATGATCTATTTTTGAAATTTCGCTAACGCTCAGATAATTCCTGTTCTCACATGTTGATAAGCCAGGGGTTTTAATAAAAGACAAATGAATAAAAGGGGTAAGTTTCCAAAGAAACTGTGGTGCTGCGTCGATGGGGGTAACAAGGTTATTAGGTTTATCAACTAAGCTGATACTGCAAATTGAAAAAGAGTTTAAAAGCTGACGTTTCGAGCGTTAGCCCTTCGTCAGAGCGAATGGAGGAATTGTGGGTTGTGTGCATGTTTATATGCAAAAGGTGGAGCTACGCTATTGGTGGGAACACGGTTTTAATGAAAGCTGGTTACAGTCTACCGCTGACCATTGATTGAATGATTGATTGATGATCGTTTAATTCCATACTCTCGCAGCTAAGGCTGAATTGCAGTATGGGTCCGTATTACATAGGTACAACATTAAATATACATCTTATTCATATCGAACAGTAACAAAATTATTAAGTCTATCTGTGGCCCCTCTAAACCGATCTACTCGAACATTTCCGGCTCGCGAAGAATAACCATGATGCACCTCTGTGGTGCGAGGAAGGATGTAACTTATAGGTTCAGTCCTCCTCGCCCCAGCCATGAACCTGGAACGCAGTTCAGCTCTGCGAACCACGACGGGTTGCAGCCGAGCCCCACTAAGGCCAGATCCATAGTCAAGACGGGGCAAGATTATCCTAAGTGCTTTCCCTTATACTGACTCGACGAGCTGATTAAGGTTCTCAGGAAGATATGCGCAGACAGGGGCCGCGTACTCCAAGACCGACCGTATTAGGGAGCAATAAATAAGCACTAAATCAGTCTGGGGGACTCCTGCCTTCCCAAGCACCCTAAGAGCGTAAAGGCGCTTGCTCGCTTTCTTCACAATGTAGTCAATATGGTTGTTCCAGGAGAGATATGAAGAAATATAGACACCGAGTGACTTGTAACTATCTACCTGACTGATACTAGTACATAAGACCTCTTACAGCCGTCTGTTGAGCCTGCGAGTAAGTTTTCGTGTTTTGTATTTGCCTTACGGCACCTTACACTGTCGGCAGCCGCTTATGGAAAAAGTTATCGAAAGCCATTGATAGATCACCCTCCCCCTCTTGTCTAGAACCCTAAGTTTCTCTGAGCCACACCCTTTTAGGTTTCATTTGAAACGTTTTCCTGTTTCAGATGCTGTTATTATTGGAGCTTCGTCAGTGAAACACTTGGAGGAAAATCTGAAAAGTACGAAACACGGGCCCTTACATGAAGGTACCAGCAACCATTGTCTACCATAAAAATAATGATTACGTGAAGCATAAGCTAATGGCTGTCTAAATGGCACTTTGTCAAATAATCTTCAATTGTAGCGGGAATGAGAGGTACTACCGGTTTGCTTCTGTCTTCACAAAAAGAATTATGTCAACACTGTACTATCTCCCCTCTCTGCAGATGTTGTGGAACTTTTTGAAGAGACCTGGGGCATACTTCAAGGCGACTGTCCGTTGTATTTCCGCTGAATTGACATTTTGGTCACCGAAGGCTCGTTCGACCTTTGTAATCGTGTCGTAAAGTTACCTTTTCCTAGAAATAGTCGCATGGGAACTAGGGATTAAAACTTACATTAGTGGAGTAGGGCGAAAGACAACGAGGTACATGTGATAGATATAAGAAAGGAGTGTGACGACTTAAAAAGAATTTCTTGAATAATTTCCAAAGTCATCCTCGCGTTGGTTTGAATAAACAACTTAAAAGTGCTCATCTTAGACCGGTGGTAACGAAAGGTTTTTGAAAAGGTTGAATAGCGACAGAGCTGAATAATGAAATGCTATGTCAGCGGGTTGCCGTCAACAACGCGGGCTCAAGTGTCTTAGGTCTAAAATTTAGCGAAATTAGCGGAAAATAGCAAGGGCTGACTTTTAAAACCGAGGAACTCTGTTTTCGTCGAAGGCATTTTCCTATTTTCAGAGGTTTTAAGGAGAATATTAAATTTTGAAAATTTTCAGGGGGTGTACCAAGTTTTTGGAGGTTGTTCTGTAAAAGAAAAGTGGCAAGGAAAACGACACCTCGAAGCAACAGAATAGGAAATCATTCATGTGAACAACTCAAGATCCGTGTTTCCACGGCAAAATCTAGCGCATGCGTGCACGTTATTCAGCTCTTTCTTGAATGGCTTGTTGTGGCTTCACTTGTCCGCTTCAGTTATGTAAAATATGATTAGAAGGGGGATCGTGGATTTTAAAAGATGTTTATTGTGATAGTTTGAATCAATTCTACTTTTTAAAAATGAATCGTTTGATTAAAGCAAAGGTATCCCCTAATACTTTAGTTTTGCCATATTATGCTGATTGGCTGACATTCAGTTCGTACCATTTCAGCCAATTACATGCTTACAATACCAAAGCCTATCGGAAACTTTGTCACACACATTTCCCGCGCATGCGTTCTTTCTGTGATTACCTCAGCAGTTTTGATAATTTAACTGGACAGTTTTGTATTTCTGTCGCGTGGAAAGTCACTCTGTTATTATGATTTTAAGTTCTACATTATTAGTGACAGGTAGTCAGTGGATATTTATGTGAAAAATTGATCCACCATCAAGTGAACCAGTTATTGTCATACTTTGATTAGATTAAAAATCATCGCAACTGAGCAAGGTTCAAGTTGAAATTGCTAAAATGTCAGAAGTGGAGCGCTAAAGCTTTCGCGGCTTAAATATGAAATATTTATTTGTCTAAATCCCTTTGCATCTTTTTTCTAATGGCCATCGTTTTACATTTCAGTTCCCAAGTGTTCTTAAAAAGCTTAACATAGTCTTAAATTTCTCCCCGTTCAGTTTTACGTATGTGAATTGTCAGTTACGTTCGCCTTTGTTCACTGTGTTAGCTACATAGTATTTTCCAAAAGTAGCAATGTTCCTTCGAAATTAATCTTCAAAACTGGAAAAGTCCAACGGAGATTCGTTAACTGGCGGGCGTTCTACAGCTTCGACTTTTTCCTCTTCAATGAAATCTATGGGGGCACTTTCTTGTAACTTTTCTAATACTGGAACTGCTAGGAGATCCTCCACAGGGATCACATCCTTCTCTGGTTCATCTTTGGGAATTTCCAGACCCCTGTGGTAGCGTGGCTTTCTCTGTACTTCCAATACAACTATCTCCTCCTCAAATTCATCATATTCTTCATCTTCTTCTTCACTTTCTTCTTCCTCTTCCTCTTCTTCCTCAGTGGGATGTGGTTGAGGTAATGGCGGTTTCTCTTCTTTTTTCTCTTTCTCTTTCTCCCTGACCACGTCCCAAAGACTCAGGATATCGATAACAGGTTTTTCCCGTTTGGCAACTTGGGGATTGATCCTGCTTTCGTTAGCTACAGGTTCTGGTTCCTTCTTAGGTGTGAAATCTCTTGGGTAATTTAAGTGAACACTAATGTCTGAAGTTCCATGGCTTCGTCGTGTTGATTCGGGCAAAGGCTTTTCCTCCATCCACTCTGGAACATGAATACGAGATTCCTTCGTCACAGCTGTTATCGGGTGGTCGTCGCCACGTCCGAAACTCTTCGTAGAGTGCTCGACTACTGTCGTGCCTCCATCGCCTCCGATCGTCTTGGTGAAGACTGAACGATGGTAAGATGTGCTGTTTCCGTGATTGTTCCCTCCTGTCGACTCAGTACTGATTGTCGTATGGCCTCTGGTTGTAAACTTGATATCGTGATTTCCAAACGGCTGCCCTCTGATGTCCAAGTCCATCTTGCTCACTTCATGTACTGGAGGCTTGCTGCCAAATTGCAAGGGCACTTCTCCACTGCTTATCTCTTTGTTGCTGGGTCCATCGTTGTTAGATGTCGTCTTCCTCGTGGTTGTTGTTGTTACAATCGTCTTTTTAATTATTCGTCGAACTTTCCGGCCATTCTCATCCACGAACTCCCTGACTTCCACATCCTCATCTTTGTCGACTCCTCCATAATTACCTTCCATTTGTAGTACATCCCTCGTCAGGTGTTTACCATCGTCGCCGTTCTCAGATGTTGTTTTCGTCGAAGTAGTTGTTACTGTCGTCAGCACACGCCGTACACGCCGTCCGTTTTCGTCCGTGTACCACATAGTGTCGTCGTCTTCGTCCTCTATGTCTACGTCTTCTTTAGTATCCTCTTCTTTTTGAACCTCTTCGTCGCTATCAGATTTCACCACTGTGCCTCCGTTTTCTTTCACGGTGTCTTCCGGCAGCTCTTCGGGTTTTAGCAAGTTAACGTTTTCGTCCGCGTTCGAGTCCTTAGCGACGCCGTATGCGACTTTAACACGCTGTTTTTCTTCGGGTTCACCACGTAAACAGCACGGGCAACACCACCTTAAACAGGCTATGGGAAAAAATTACCAACATCATCATCGTCATTATCATTATTATGATCACCATCTCAATCATACATTAGCCACTTCAGTAGTAATATTTATACAATTCAACAGTATGGTGGGGTAAGGAGACCCCTAAGAAATCACCAGGGGAGGGGAGGCTAGCTCTGTTGTCTAGATGTTTGTAAGTTGTGAGGTGCGGCTTGGTCAATAGTCCCTTTTACAGTTGTAGGCTTGGTGGCCAAGCCTTTGAACAGGAGTGAGGCTAAGGGTGACCCTGTTGTGATAGAGACCTGTATCTAGTGAGCATGATAACAAAAGGAATTTGCATTTGAAAAGCAGCAACGTCTCTATCATAAAAAGGTCACCCTTAGCCTCACTCCTGTTCAAAGGCTTGGCCGCCAAGCCCACAATTGTAAAAAGGACAATTCAGGCTCATTTCATTAAATATTTAATCAACTTTTTTTTCAGTTGCAGAGAAGCTAGTCGAACCAATGATCGATATTAGGAGAGCATTCCAAATTTTAAGGATCTTAGTAAAGTATTGTAAACCGCTTAAGATTAGTCCGATACACGCGAGTGGATAAACAAACAAATATTTTTAGTGTTTTCCAACAATCTGTGAATCCGCGTGCTGAAATTCGATCATGTTAACTTAATTGTCGTTGCTATCAACGGCGTCTTAATTTTAGGTTTTGCTGTGAGGGCGCCAGTCTAAGCCAAAAGTTAGTTCATTTAATATCGCCCCTGTTAAAAGTTCAATACTCGAGACGGCACTTCACCCATCAGATATTGGACCTGAGGTAATTTAAATTGAGCGGAATCATTTTAGCTGTAAAGCACATACACTTTTACACTCTCCGACATAAAATATAATATAAAAAGCTTCTTTCTCATTTATAATTTAGATTGACAAATTGTGCTGTTGGGTAAAAAGAAGGACTTTGTTTTAGCTTGCAAAATGTTTCATTTTGAGCTGTCACCAGTGAAGCATAAATAGATTTTGAAAAGTTTGGAAAACTTTCAAACACGGCAAACAATGGACACTAAAAATAAACCTAGTAGACGAAATATCTCGTACCCCTTAGATAGGAGCTTTATTTAACTGCTTTCTCGCTGAAATGTTCATAGAATATTTCGGCTTTATGTGGCACCAAAACTTATGCATTTGCAGCAACTTGCGAATAAGCGGTAGAAGAGGTGTATTTTGCATACAAATAGCTTGATTTCCGCTGCAGGCATCTTGCTATAAAGCGAGCGAATACAATCTGGCGAATGAAAATCTTCTTAAAGAGTTCCAAAATATTAAGAATATTCTTTAAAAAAATTGCCCTTGACTTGCTCCTACCGAGAAACTAATGGGAAAGAACTAAAGTATCTCTTGTAATGCCAGCGGGATAAAACGATTTCGAAACTTATAAACATCATTGTACACCAGCGTGAGAATCAAAATACAACGTCGAAAATTTCCTGCAATGCAACGACAATCACTAAAGAACCAGAAATATTAAAGATTTTAATGTTTGCAACTTTCTTGGTGGCGAATCAATCTACTACTATTAGTGCATAACGGATAAAGATCTTAAAACATACCTTTCATCGTAAATCAAGAAAATATTCCTTATTTCCAACCTAGCGAAAAAGTGTGTAAATGAACCAACGGATGGAACGATGTGCTCCCTTAATCCAGGAGGGTTTGTGATTATTCCGTGATCTCGTGGTCGTTCGTGATACCCAAGCACTCTATTTTTCGATTTCCGTCGCGCTCTGAACTGAAAAGGCGCGGTTTTGTGGAAGCACGGTGAATAATTTTGATACTTAATTGACAACAGAGGCGACTACTGAAGCGTGTGAAAATCTGCGAAAGATCTAGAGAAGTGTAAATATCGATAGAATGTTACGGGAATTTACGAGGCGTCCACGAACTTCCCATTTACACCCCAGAAAATGCTCTTCAAATTTCATGGTTATGATATTAAAAATTCCACTCCTATGAAATATTCAGGAATTTTCACTTAGAGTAATCAGCTGTCTACGCGTCATTGTATCTTGACGCCCATAATCTTTCTGTATAGTCTACATTTTCATGCAAATTTATTGTTTAACGGTTCTTTCATTGATTTACACGTGAAATCATCCGTGATAGCACCTGAAGACCGACAACTTTTAAGAAGTAATCTCTTAGTTTGTTTAATTTTTTTTTGGATGAAAATGACAATGGTTTCTGGAAATTAATCTTGCTACGCCACTCAAGTAAAAACAGAAAAAACCTCATGAGCCAAATTCTCACTTAAACCCTAACTTTCAGGTCCTTTCAAGGAATCGTTTCAGGAATGTTCACTTGAAAACATGTTTTTATCGTTGTTAAATTTAGTTCAGTTGCAGAATTCCAAGCTCTGTTTTGGTTAAAGTATAACAATTTATTCAACTTTACATCAAAAAATGCCTGACAAAGAGGATCAAGTTGCTCTGTTCTTGCGACTGCCATACCAGTAATTACAAAGCTTGATTATCAAGTGGAAAAAATCGTGCATAATCTAACGCAGTAATGAACTTTACTTAAATACTTATCTCAAAAAAAATTTGGTAATAGATTAAAGAGCTTACCGAAAGGAATTCCAAAGCGCACTGCCGACTTGCTTGCAACATAACGAGGTGCTCTTGCAGGCATGTTGTATGTACGTCAAGGTCTTCCTAAGAACTTTGTTATGATGATAACAAAAGTGGGTTGCTCAATTTATGAATATTTATCATGTGTGTGATTAAAAAAAAGTGGCACAGTGTATCTGCTGCACAACATGTTTAGTTTTTCCGGCTTAGAACACAACATGAGAAATTTTTCTTACTAATTTGTTTTCTTTAATTCAAATCAAAGATAACAAAAAGCTTAAAATCGACAACTAACTTTTATTGATTTTACTGCATCTCTTTGTTTAGTAAAGGGCATGAAGTTTAGAACAACCTAGACACAACGGGAAAGTTTAGGATCGTGAAATAGAAATTATTTTTCTCGGCCATTTCCAAGTTATCTATGAACCGTTCTTAAGATTCACTAAAACATTTTTAAACTGAAGTCACGACTCTGGAGGCACAAAATTCTCTTTGTGAACTGCTTGTGCTTGGTTTATGCCACTTAAAACCAAAATTATTACATAAAAATTCACGAAGATTGTGCGATCACCTAAATCATAGTTAATGGTAATCAAAATTGTGATTACGTAGGTATGTATGCAGTTAAATTGAAGAATGTTTGATGGGAAAGTCGACTGGCCTTCAAGCATTGAAATGTGCCATGGAACCCTTGTCTTTTCCATGTTTACAAAACAGAAAACAGCTAACAAAATAGAGGTCCAGGTAAACTCCACATACTTTTAAGACTTCTCAGTTTCAAAGCTTTCGTCCGAATTTGCCAGATATTGGAACCCACAGGCGCTCATCGCTTACCTATTTCTTCTGGTTAGATAAGACTTGTTAAATTGTGATAATCTTGCCTCACTGTAAGTGCTCCTTTACACACGCTTTACGCTCAATCCAGAACAGATAGGCTTCGAACGTGAACAATAAAATAACTCAGCCTTGTCTAATCTACCTTAATTTACCACTAACATAATTTTAAGGCTCGGTTTGTTTGATGCATGACTAAGATAATTCATATTTAAAACAACATGTAGTGTGGGGATTGCAATGTTCTAGAACAGGTCGGGACAATCATGTACATATGAATTGGAAACAAAGAGGGGTGAGGCGATATCCGCCCACTTTACAGCGGGTCGAGCCTTGAAAATATCTTGAGTTTTGTGGTACTTTTAGCAGAGTTTGAAAATTCAAAAATTATTTTTTACGTTTAGAGAGTTAAACGGAGTTTCCCACCAGACAAGGTTGATGTCAAACTTAACAGCAGTCTGAAATTGAGGTTTCCATTAAAAGAGTATGGACGCCAAGAATTGATTTTAAAACTGGATCAGAGTTAACCAACCATTTTTAAAAACTTCTTCGACCTCATCTGAAATTCAAGACTTCTTGAATTTTCTAACTTTGCTGAAAGTACCACAAAACTCTAGAGGATGACATGTTAGATTTTCAAGGCTTGACCTACTGATAAAGACGTGGTTGGATTGCCCATGCACCATGTTTGTTTCTAACTCACATGCATAGTACAACTGCATCTGTTCTAGAACATTGCAATTCTTCTTCCTTCCTACTTCAATGCCAACCGAAGTCACGCGGTCAAATTAGAGATCCCAAAAGGAACTGCGAGTCGAGACTCGCTCCAGACCTTCACACATTTCTCAAGTCACGGATCGATGATTCCAACCTGATATCGAGGCCATATTTGTGATAATCCTAAAATCTTAATTTGCTCTGAAATTATTGCTCCCCGCTGGATTTTGGCCCAGACTGCCAGAACCCGAGAAGGCACCCTAGAAATCCCCGCGTATATAGGGAGAAAAATTTCGCCGTAGCAGGAAAAATCTCAATTTTTTGAGAAAGCGGCTCGAAAATTATGATTGCCAAAACTGTACGCAAAGGATTGCCGAAAGTTCGCTGGCGATAGAATAAAAACGCGAAGGAATCTGGGAGCGGAGTCTTTGCCACGCAACGAAGTGTCTTCTAAAGTCCAAGACGACGGGGTTTATTCTTCGGTGTCAAAATTTTTGTATGAGAGCATTTTAACAGACTTAACCCGTAATTTTCAGCTCTGGCCTCCAAAACGGAACTGAGCTGTTCTTAAGACTGTCTGCATCTCGACGTGCCAAATAAGACTGCCTCAAAAACACTGTCACATATAATTAAAAGTGTCTTGAAGCTTTCTTTGGGCTGAGTTTTAATTTCTTCAGGCTTAAATCTTCACAAGGCTTAATAAATTCATCCAAAATCTGTTTGGTGGTGGGAAAATGCCTCAAAAAAAAGCCATAATTTAATCACCTAGTGTAATGAAAAAAGTAAGCAGCGGGAACATTTGATAAATTTTGTCTCAAAACAAACCCGAGGCTGTGGAACACCTTCGGCGAAATTTTCTCATAGAATTATCTGATCGATCAAAGGCATGCTTAGGAAAAATATCGTTTGGTGAACTTCATGTTTTGGTTGAACGGAAATTATACAGGATAATTTAAGAACGTCCCAGACATTACATAATGTCCAAATTCGGACAAATGTTGCGTGTTGATAATGAAATCCCTTCGAGAAAGCTAAAATGTTGGTTTCACCGCTCAAGGAAACTCGAACATGAGAGATAATCCTGTAAAGTTGTTTTCAAGACGAAATCAATAAACAAATACTTCTGGATTCACACAAGGTACGTCATGCGGAGCGGAGGGACTTTTATGAACTTCTACTATTTTGTTTTTTTTTTTTGCCTTTTCGTATGACATATATCTGTATATTGCGGCCGAAAGGTTAGCTTTCCATCTTTTGTTTCTCCTGGCGCTACAGTAAGAAATTTTCATGTGCTTTTTGGGCGACGATTTCGTGAGCTTTGCTTGCTTCCAACTGAACCACGTGTAGGTGGCCATATTGGATATCAGCCTTGGCGAGTCAAGTTCGCTGAACGGTATGGAGTTTAGTGTAAAGACGTGCAAAATCATGAGAATAACTCAGAAGAAACAACCATTCACCTCGACTTTCTTCTTAAACAACACTGAGTTGGAGGAGGTTGAAGAATTCAAGGATCTAGGTGTTATCACCGACCATCACCTAAAGTGGAACTCCCATGTGAACTGTGTTGTTGCCAAGGCAAATAGGACATTGGGACTGATTAAAAGAACCTGTAAAGGACTAAATGATTTGAAGACCCTAAGGACCCTTTACTGTTCCTTAGCCTTGAATACTGCTCTGAGGTGTGGTCCCCATATTCCCGTAAGAACATTGATAAGCTTGAGGGAGTCCAGAGACGCGCTACTAAATTAATTTTGAAAACTAAGCATAGCTATGCAACTCGTCTTGAGAAGTTAAATCTATTATCTTTGGAAGACAGAAGAGTTTTATTTGACGTTACTTTCTTTTTTAAGGCACTGAAAGGGTTTGCTGACATTAGTGTTTCACCTTTTGTGGATTTTTACTCTAGTTTAGATTATTATTCCTTAAGACATTATGATCATCTCAGTGATGTTGAGGAAAAAATATGCAAGGACTAATTCCCTTAAAAATTCCTATTTCCATCGAATTGTAGATTTTTGGAATATGTTGCCTGTTGACATTCGCACTGCAAATTGTACTGGGAATTTTAAATTTAAAGTGAAGAATTTTCTTGTGGGTAAATCATAATTTTATTTTTCTTTATTATAACATAGTATCTCATTCGTACTATATGTATTGGGTGATCTGCTATTACATGGGGTCTGGGACTCTTTTGCGGATTCTCCTTATAGCATTTTTTTTTTTAAATTCATTAACTGTATCTTACCTGCACCCGTGTATTTCTGCCATTAAATTGCAGTAAATAAATAAATAAAAATAAATAAATTTTTCTTTGAATGAACTATCAGAAAGGTTTAGCTGATGTCCTCTTGCGTCTCTCATTGTGTAGACAATGGAGCCACTGTTTAAGGTCAAATTTGCCGGGGACACACTGGTGAAGAGCCCGTACAAAGTTCCCCTTCAGAAGATATTCTACACTCCATAATATCAAAATAGCGGGGGCATCATTAGTGACAACTACTACTAGTGATATGTCGTAATTCGGTAACACACATGTGGGCAGCAGAGTAGAAATACTCTTGGGAAGAGGTTATTTTTTCCACGGCATCGAAATTCAAAATGGCTGCCGAAGGGCAGGGTAAGAATCTTTTCTTTAACGAACAGTTTCCGTTGCAATTTATACTCTTTAGGTTTCATTTTATTGTTAAAACTCCTTTCAACCACGTATCTATTGTCACAGGATCTCAACATCGAAAACCGAGTTAAAGAAAGCTTCCTTCCATGGGGGAATTAATCAATATGGGTATGGAACTTTTGGGTATTGGAAGAAAGAAACCACGCAAAAAAACGCATTAGAAGTTCAGCACAGATCCTATTACTGGGATACGCAATAAAAACAAAGGAAACTATTCTAGTCGGCTACAGAAGCAACGGAGAAAGACCTCTAATGATGGCAGATTAATCCCCATTCATTGCGCTGAATTTTGTCTAGAAGAGAAGCATGCATACGATTCAATGCGCTGTAATTTCGTGAATGGTAATAAAACACCACATGCCGATTTTTAAATACAAAGTCGAAGTTCTCAAAATGATGCCACATTCTAACCAAAAATAATTCGCTTGAACGATAACTAATAATCGCACGTATAATCGATGAGTTTGCAGTCACCTACCAAATTAGTCATGTTCGGTTTTTATCATAAGGAAAATAGCTTTTCACCTGCTAATATCCACCACCTTTGTTTCAAATGATAAAAAAAATATCAATAGATATAAGCTACATATTGTAAATACTCACTAGCCATGGCCGCCATGTTTCAGTCGCTCCCGTTACCGCCAATTTGAAACTTTAGAACCTAACTGTTCTCGTCTTAACAGCTAGTGTCACCGAATTATGACATGACATAATTTTAAAGGAAATGAAGATTATCGGATTATTATAAATCTGGTCTCGATATCATGTGATTCAGAGCGGAATCTGACAAACAACTTCGTCCCTAACCTCCAAGCCCAGACCCCTTGCACTCGCTCCAATACGAAAACAAGAAAAAAAAAAAAAGCGCATTACTGTCCTTGCTCATTCTACGTTTAAAAGTAGGCGAGCGTTATGAGCTCAAACCTTTCACTTGCAAAATTGTAAATTTCAACCCTCTCGCATATTCAGATTGAACGGAATCTTATCATCAGCTACTACAAGTTTCAAAGCGGTCAAATTAAATAGTGAGGAAAATTTATTTGCATACAAACAACAAAGTTCAATCGATATTCAATTACTAAGTTTTCTGTCTCATAACAGAAAACGGAACAAATGTTTGTCTTTTCAAATATTTTCCGCAGAGTTTGGGAGGTGCCATTTCTGAGAGTGGATTGAAGTTGTTTCAAATGTTTTGACTGGAAAAGTTCTTTGCAAATTCTTCACAAATTACAAATTCTTTACAAATTAATCCGCTTAATTTCTCAGAAGCTAACTGGATTAAGGACAACGTTTGAATCCATAAAGTGGAAGTCACTATGTTTGAACCCCTTTCGAGAAAAAAATTTTAAAAAGTTTGAACTCTTCCAGATTCATGTCACCTTTTTCTAGGCTACCGCCTTCCCTTTTTCCTTAAAATAATGCCAGGATTATCTTTTCAACGCATTCAATTAAAGATGACAAGCCAGGGAAAGACAAAAAAAAAACAATTGAAGGGATTAACCTTGAAGGAAACAATTCCCCTGGTGATCTAAAAAGGACATAAGGACCTTACTCAGTGGTTGATAAAACATACTCCAATCGGCCCCCATGTTCAATTCTTAAGCGGGACTTTAACACGCAAAGACGACCGCAGCAAATTTGCGAGGTTTAGCAAACGAAGACAAAGTGAGTGCTTACGTTGTAAACAAACTGATCAAATATTGATGAATTGTCCGCTTCTAAAACGTGTATGTCCAAACTGGTTTGCTCGTATCATTCAGAGCCTTCATTACACATTCAATTTTTTCATTTTGCTCTCCTTCGTTACAGGGGCGTGTTAATCGTAGTCTACAAGCTAGAAGTGTACTCCGGGTATTCAAAAGAAACGCTAGTATTCTAAACAGCGAGGAAAACTCCAGCAAACTTAGAAGGTTTTTGACATTTCAACAAGCTTGAACAAAAAGACGGCGTAGACAAATCAAACAAAGAAGAAATTTGCAACTTAATCAGTGCAGAAACAACAACACTAGCGAGCGTAGAATCAGAGAAATGTCGTACACAGAACGGCAAGAAAGTCAATCTCGACGAGTGGTGCAAAGTTCCATGGTCTCCACCGCAACCAGAACAACTTCTGTTCGCCGCGTGACTAGTGAAAGTAGTGAGGTCAAAATGGAAACCAAAAGGTCGTCTTTTCCGGCTCAAGAAGTTACTTTGTTTACTCGACATGGCTTTGACTCCAGCACGGAATTTAGGCGTTGGAAAAGCAGTAGCAGCAATAGGATCGAATTCAACTCTTTTGATCAGCGATCTCTCCTATTTAACACCTCTGGAGGTAACAGAAGGCTGAATGAAGCCCGAGACGTGACCGAACATGGTTCAAAGTCTCCCGATCGTGACCGCGAACCCCCTCTGAAGGCAGTCGTCAAAGAAAAATCTGAAATACAGACTCCGGATTGGATGGAAGAGAAAGAATCACCCGAGCTAAAGCGTAAGATCTATGACACCGGAACAATCGATCTTCTCTTGAAATATCCTTTGGATAATTCTCCTAAGGCCAATATTTTAGACCTGAGGAAGACGAAATATGAAAGTCCAATCCGCCCTGAAGTCGCCAAACGAGAGAAAGCAGCTATTCCCATATTAAGCCTTGATGATTTTGACAAACAAGATGAAGATGATGAGGACGATGAATTCGAGGAGGTGATTGTGGTTCTGGATGTGCAAAGAAGACCGACTTGGCGAAAGGGATTGGAAAGACCGAAACCACAGCCAGTTAAAGTCGGGGCTCGCGTCGAAGATCTTCTCCAGCTCCCAGGAAAACCAAAAGTGAAGCCAGAAAGCGACCTTGACATGTCAGCTGTTGATGAGAGAATTGAGTATGTGGAACGCCCGCTAGTGGCTCATGAGGGTCTGGACTTGACAGGTATCCTTGACAACCTGTGACGCATGCAAAGTCTATCAGTCTGCAGTAGGCGAGAACACAGGCACATTTTCAGATTTAAATAATTAATGCCTTATTCGATTTGATAAATTGAGCACCGGTTCTTTTCAAAAATATTCTCAATAAGTCCACTTGAAACAGTTTTTTCAAACTGCCCTTAAGCTTTCTTTTAATTCAGTGCGTTGCCTTCGTAAGTCATCGAACTTATGACAGAAATATTATGACACCTCCAAAAAGACAGCAACAAAAAAATGAACCAATTGTAGGATCCAAATAGAATACTGAAACGGCAACGACAAACTAAAAATAAGCTCTTGATTATTTTGGTATTTTTTCTATGTGTTTTCCATTCGCTAAACGTTGTGTTTTATGTTTCCATCTTTATCTTTCGTGCTCCATCTCACATAATAACTCAATATGACACAAGTGTTGTTTGGTAAGTAGCACAGTTTCACAAAGCAATTTATCATTCTAGAATGCGAAGTGCAAACCTATTACCGTTCTGATTAAATGATAAAAGGATGAGAAAAACTTTCTAAAACCGTTAGTGTGCACCTTCAAGAACTTTGAAACTATTGTACCACATTCATTTTGCTTCTAGAAATGATTTTTTAGGGGAATCACGCGGATCATAGATAGAACATTGACCGACACCGAAAGTTTTCTCCATTCAGACGTCTAAAACCGAGCGCCGACGACGCCAGTTTGAAGGGGGATCTGAGGCCAGCCTCCCCTAGAAAAGTTTAAAATCTATTCTCCATACATGCCAAGAGATCATAATCCTTTCATTTGTACTTCCCTTATGCTAAAACAAAATAAAATGTCCTCCTCGCAAAAAGGGCCCTCTGGCTCCGCTTTCCCTGCTTAGTTCATAGAAGCATCGTCTAGACCCTCCCTCCTTGAGAACTTCATACCCAATTCTTATTTTAGCTTCAACACCTGCCTCTTTTTCTCCCTTTCTTTAACAATAATAATAATAATAATAATAATAATAATAAAAGATTTATACCGCGCCAGTATCCTACTGTTCAAAGGCGCCTACAAAAAACTTTAACATTAACACTCAGTCCAAAATCACAACCGGCCACTAGTGGCCAAATTTCCCAAAACCACCACTGAAGGCAAAAATCCCGTACTGCCCCTACTGGCCAAGTTCTCCAAACGCTGCAAGTGGCCAAACTCCCCAAACGACCATTTGTGGCCAAAATCGCCAAAATGCCCAAATGGCCACTAGTGGCTAAAATCGCCAAACAGCAACTGGTGCCCAAAATCTTCAAACGGCCACTAGTGGTCAAAATTGCCAAACGGCCACTAATAACCAAAATCGCCAAACGGCCACTAGTGGCCGGCAAAATCGCCAAACGACCGCAAGTGGCCAAAATCCCCAAACGACCCCTAGTGGCCTAAATCCCAAAACAGTCACCAGTGGGCAAAATCGCAAAACAGCCACTAGCGGCCAGGATCGACAAACGGCCACTAATGGCCAAAATCGCCAAACGGCCACTAGTGGACAAAATCCCCAAACGGCCAGTAGTGGACAAAATCGCCAAACGGCCTCCAGTGGACAAAATCCCCAAACGGCCACTAGTGGACAAAATCGCCAAATGGCCACTAGTGAACAAAATCACCAAACGGCCACTACTAGCGAAAATCTTCAAACAGCCACTAGTGGACAAAATCGCCAAACGGCCACTGGTGGACAAAATCCCCAAACGGCCACGTACATACATACATATACTTTATTTAACCTCGAATTTAGAGTAGCTAAAGATGAGCTAGTATCTTCGAGTTACAAGTATAATTCTAAATACTACTAAAATGTAAAATAAAATTCTAAAATTTAACTATGTGAAAAGAGTCATACTGTAGAATCTTGCGCTTGAAATCAGGAAAGTCAGACGTTCTAAAACAATCTGGAAGAGAGTTCCATAGTTTTGAAGCCATATGTGAAAAGGAGTGAAGACCATAAATAGTAGTTTTTGTAGGCGGTAGAGTGGACAAAATATAATTTCCGCGTAGACTATAAGATACAGACCGGAAACTAAAGATATTCCTTAGATAGCCTGGATAGCAGGTAAAAAACAAGCTCTTGTACAATACAATTAAGAAAGTCTGAAAGCGCCTTTTATACAGACAGATTTGGAGTTAACTTTGCTAAGTAGAGTCCTATGGAGAATTATAATCCTGCAAGATAAATTATAATTATCAAAACGCAACTTATTCTCAATACTAATTCCACTAGTGGCCGTTTGGGGATCTTGTCCACTAGTGGCCGTTTCGCGACTTTGTCCACTAGTGGCCGTTTCCCAACTTAGTCCACTAGTGGCCGTTTGGCGATTTTGTCCACCATTGCCCGTTTGGGGATTTTTTCCACTAGTGGCGGTCTAGTGATTTTGTCCACTAGCGGTCGTTTGGCGATTTTGTCCACCAGTGGCCATTTAGGGATTTTGTCTACTAGTAGCAGTTTGGTGATTTTGTCCACTAGTGGCCGTTTGGCGATTTTGTCCACTAGTGGCCGTTTGGCGATTTTGTCTAGTAGTGGCCGTTTGGGGATTTTGTCCACTGCTGGCCGTTTGGCGATTTTTTTGCACTAGTGGCCGTTTTGGAATTTTGTCCACTAGTGGCCGTTTGGTGATTTTGTCCACTAGTGGCCGTTTGGCGATTTTGTCCACTGGTGGCCGTTTGGTGATGTTGTCCACTAGTCGCCGTTTGGCCAAAATTGCAAAACGGCCACTAGTGGCCAAAATCGCCAAACGGCCAGTGGTGGCCATACTCCCCAAACGGCCACTAGTGGCCAAAATTGCAAAAATGCCAGTAGCAGCCAAAATAGCCAAATGGCCACTAGTTTCGAAAATCCAAAAACGGTCACTAGTGACCAAAATCGCTAAACAGCCATTTGTGTCCAAAATGGCTGTTCGATCACTAGTGTCTAAAGTCCAAAATCGGCCTCTAGTGTCCAAAATCTAAAATCGGCGGCTAGTTTCTAAAATCTCAAATTGGCCACTAGTGTTAAAAATCGCAAATGAGGGTTTTGTCCTCGTGTACCGGTTCACAAGAGCCGATACAAAAGACCGAACAATACACAACAGCTAACCAATAACTCCTAAACAAAGAAAGAACAATGGTAATTCCCTTGTGAACCGGTACAACAGGACAGAACCCAAATGAGCCACTAGTGTCGAAAGTCACAAATCGGTCACTAGTGTCCAAAATAGCAAATCAGTCACTAGTGTCGGAAATCCAAAATGGGCCAGTTGTGTCCAAAACCGCAAATCGACTACTAGAGTTTAACTATAAGCTAAACCAGTCATTAGTTTCTGTTACATCTAATTTATTGTGAAAACTGTTTTAGCTACAGCCCAAACGATTCTTACACCGCACAACCTTAGCAGCATATACAGTACTACAATGATGGTGTCCATGGTTTGTCATCACGCTTTTGTTTCTCGAAGGATGCTAAAGCTCGCTTCGGTGGAATAAGTGAGTCGGTTACTCCAGATTTTCGTTTCTTCTTCGTAGGTTCCCATCTTTCTTCGTCTTCGTCTGGTTCGTATCGTGTTTCTGTGGTTGAAATAGTTGCAGCTAAACTCGGCTCTCTGGGTTGTTCAGTTTCAGGATTAAGTGATCCTGAACCGATGCCATGAGAAAACTTACAACGGTCTCCCATTCGGCAACGTCCCTTCTGAAACTTAAAACAAATCTTTTTCGATTTCTGTTCGTCTTTTTCAGATTTTCCTTCCGAAAGTTGTACATGTTTCTCCAAAACTGAGAGTCTCTTTTTCTCTTCAGCAAGGAAAGGGTTAAAGAATACTGAAGATGTTTGGTAAGCTCGCTGGTTGAGTTCCTTAGACGCAGATAGCGATCTAGAGGAACAAATATGTGTACTAACATCGAACGATGGCAATGGAAGTGGTATTTGAGCTTTTCCTTCCTTGTTGCCGGAATTTTGTTCATTGATACTTCTACCAGATTCGCTTACTTTACTTTCTTCCTCATCAGATTCAGAGGAACTGCTGGAATCGCTGCCATAATCCGGAACAAGTCCAAGAAGTGACATACTATTCGCAGGCTGGTTCGTCCGCCATGTTGGATTGTGCCTTGACGAATAAGTACTGTCTAGGGTGGGCTTAAAAACTTTTGAATTGAAAGAGTTGGCTCCGATTCAAAGTATGTTTCCACACTTGGATAGTTGAATTAAAAAAAAAGCATTTCATATTATTCTACCTTTTGAGTAAAAAAGAAATTCAATCTGTTTTACGCCGTGAAAAAAAAGTATAATTTTACCCTACTCTGGTGAGAGTGTGGTTAGCTTGGACCTAGTCTTTCCAGTTTACACGTGGGGCATGTTTTCAAAATGGCGAACGAATTAACAGAAGAAACAGACCACTTCTTGGCTGATTTTTTGTCCTGGTGTGAACGAAACGACCTTAAATTAAGTGAAAAGGTTGGTTAAAACATTGAAACTAGCATTTCTCGTATTAAAGTCCCCCATCCATTCTTGTCTAAAAGAAAAAGTTGGTAGATATTAACATGTTAGCCAAAATCAGCTGTTTACGCACAAATACATCTACATCTACTTTATTACTCTTCAACGCTATTACACATCAAGAAGAGATAAAAGAATAAAAATATAAACACAGCTAATAAAAATAATAAATAAATAAATAAATAAAATATGTAATTAACAATATAGCTATGCTTAAAAAATAAAAACTTAGAAAAATTTTGTACTGCAAAAAGCTGAATAACTAAGTGTTCTAGTTCCAGGTGATAAACAGTTCCAGTCCCTTATAGTTCTCGGAAAGAAACCATACTTGTAGTAATTATGATGTACAGGTGGTTGAATAAATGAATTCGTCGAGTAATTTCTAGTTTTCCTAATAGACAATTGATAATAAGACGGGATAGGCAAAGCAATACTATTGTTCACAGATTTATGGAAAATTTGTTAATGATGGGATTTTCTTCTCTTGCTTAGTAAATGCAAAGATAGGGATTTCTTCAAATTGGACACGCTGGTGTTATAACTATAATCATGTTTAATAAATCTCACTGCGCGACTTTGGATAGCTTCTAGTTTCTCCACTTGATTCTGTCTATAAGGATCCCATACTGCAGACGCATACTCTAAATGTGGCCTGACAAGTGATACATAAGCTGCACGTTTAGTTTCTTCAGAGCAGGCATACAAGTTCCTTTTCACAAACGCAAGTGAAGAGTTCCCCTTTTTAGCAATCTTGTCCACATGAGAGTTCCACCGCAGATCACTAGACAGCAAAACACCTAAATAATGATGTTGTCGAACAGATACCAGGGTTTGGTTGTAAAGAGTGTAGTCTTTAACAACCGGGGATCTACTACGGAAAACAGACATTTTGTAGCATTTAGAAGGATTGAACAGCATCTGCCACCTATTAGCCCATTGGCCTAGCTTGTCTAGGT